TACATAAATTTAATTAGAATAAACCATTGTACTCACATTATATTTCAAGTTGAGTATTATAATTTATATGATACATACAGTATCATCTTGATTTGAGTGAATTATAGGTTTGATCCTATGTTTTAACGAAAGTTATGATTAGCATCACTATTCTCAATTAATTATGGATTTGGTTCAGTTGATGTGAATTTTTTTACATCCCTTTCGCTAATAGAGTTTAAAAAAGTCTGTTAACTCAGGACCTCAGATGAATGTATAAGAGATATAAGGAGTCTAGGACCTTATCGGGCCTTCACCAATAACCTAAACTATCTCCTCTTACCAACTATTAACAACTACTTCCCTGCCCACCACTTTTTCCATCCTTGTTGAGCCTCTCCCATCATTACTCTTCTTCGATCATCCTAACTCCAATGATGTCCATCCTACGTGAACTGTTCCCTTTCTCAGCACGTCGACTCCAACCCTATTGCAACCACCTACTCTCTTCGTAGCCCTTCACCATCTCTGACAACCACCCCACCCCCTTTCACCACCACCCACCACCTGTAGCAACTCAGAAAAGTGGTCGGGAGATCCTTTGAGAGAATCATATATCTTAACTGATGCACCATGGAGGGAGGCGGAGGGTTGTGTGAATGTTGTTAACCTTTCTTCATCAAATCAAATTGACCCACTGTAAAACCCAAAAATTTCGAGGAATAAAATAAGGCATTTTTATTATTATTCTATTTTTATACATATATATATATATATATGTTAAACTAAAAATTTGAAATTTGAAATAAGTCAAATTGTTCACTTGCGGCTAAGGGCTGAAGATCCCATTTAGAGGGGGGGAGCCTGCTGTCAGCATGGGAGAGGTAGCAGAGGATCAGGCGATGCCTGGTCCATAAAGGGAAACTGCGACCTGCATGATTGTAGAAGACAGTCTCACAGCCCCAAACTCGGGATTCTGCCGATTTGGTCAACTAATAGGCCAAATCGTGCGAATATACATTGAGGGCAACAGGTTAAGGTAGTTACTCTTTTGGGAGAAGAAGGGAATCGTTGAGCTTGAAAGAGAGAAGCCGGAGTTCAAACCAGCAAGAAAACCCCCTGCTTCCCGCCGTTTAGAGGTAAATACTCGACCAAATTTATGATTTAAACAATGTTTAGCCGTGGCTTTGGCCCTGTATAGAACCCTAGAAGGCTCACGTCCATACTTTGTGTTTTGGGAGTCGATTTCAAGGATTAGATTTCATTGTTAAACACACAGTATCGCAGCCTGCTTAGAAGCCACCTTAGAGAATGTTACACAGGAAGCTCTGCATAAGAGCTCTGCATCATGTGTGTTAGACAGAAGCTCTGCATGAGAGTTTTGTGTCATACTAGCCAGAAGCTCTGCATGAGAGCTTCGTATCAAATTATGTAAGACAGAGGCTCCGCATGAGAGCTCTGTGTCAAGTTATGATAGATAGAGGCTCTGCATGAGAGCCCTGTATCAAGTGTGATAGACAGGAGCTCTGCATGAGAGCTTTGTCTTGTTAGCCAGAAGCTCTGCATGAAAGCTTCGTATCAAGTTATGTTATAGTGAAACTCTGCGTGAGAACTCTGTGTCATGTTAGACAGAGGCTCTGCATGAGAGCTCTGTATCAAGTTATAAATACCACAAAGGCTCTGGTCGTGAGACCAGAAGCTCTGGAAGAAAGAGACCACAGAAGCTCTGGTAAATACCACAGAGGCTCTGGTCGACACCACAGAGGCTCTGGTCGATACCACAGAGGCTCTGGTCAACCACAGAGGCTCTGGCCCTCTCCAAGACTTAGCACAGAGGCAGTCTTAGAGTTTCATCCTTAGTCCCGATGGTTCGATAAGACTTTTAGAATAGCGAGCAAATAGTTGACCATAAGATGACTTTTATAGTCTTTTGAGGAAATTATCATTTATGTACTATTCGCTACTATAAATTGTAGGTTGCCAGTCAGCGCCGTTAACTAAGCAATCAACGCTATCAGGTGAGTCTTCATGAGACTTACAATGGGATACATACCTATGTATAAATTTATTTTCAAGCACTATACGATTTATATGATGATGGTACAAATGCATGATGTTTCAGTTTACATACATGATATGTTTTACATGTATGAC